GGTGGCACACAAACACACACTCACACAAACAAACACCTACGTAAGATAAACACGCACACAAACAAATACTAATATACTTTACACACGTAAAAACACACATACAAACAACAAAAAAACATACATACAAACATACATACATACAAACATACATAGATACAAACAAACATACAAACAAACATACACACAAACAAACAAACATACAAACAAACAAACAAACAAACATACATACAGCAAACATACAATACAATCCTAACCTAGAAACGACGATGACGATGGCGACGTATGATGATGAGGATGATGAGGATGGTGGTGGTGGTGATGATGATAAAACTCGCTGGCCAATTGGATTCTTTGCTTCTTCATGACGTCAGCGGCAGCCGACGAAATGGTCATGGCGTTCGTGCGTTTCGGTGGCCTACCGGGTCTCGCGCTGTTTGGTGGTGATGATAATGATAATAATAATAATAATAATAATAATAATAATAATAATAATAATGGGAACATTTTTTTATTTACTACCGAGTAAATGAAATCCAAATGAAATCAATCGAAAATTATTAATTATATATCAGAGTGTGAATGAATAAGACGTAAAATATAATGCACGATCCTCTCATGCTCTTTGATTAACAATAATAATAACAATAATAATAATAATATTAATAATAACAATAACAGTAATAATAATAAACGGTTTTGGCTTTGGATTTTCCAACATCCAAGCTCAGAGGCACCTCCCTATTTAATTTTGCCATTTTACGTAACGAAACGTAAAATCCTAGAAGAAGGTATTTATTTCTGGTTAGGAGCTGGCCTGACGTAACGCGACGTAATACGGTCACGTGATCATTATCATTATCATCATCTTCTTCTTCTTCTTCGTCATCGTCGCCGTAATATATGATGAAGGTGATGATAATCGTAATTTATTTTTGTTGTTGTTGTTACTATGGTTAGGTTGCAATAATTTTTAATGTCGCTATCATCATCATCGTCGTCGTCATCATCACCATCCCTACATTCATCATATCATCATCATCATCATCTCCATTTCATTTTCTGGTAATTCCCCGATCCAAAAGTCGCCATAACAAAAAAAAACACTTAAAAGCGGAAATAGTATACGCCCGTTACTGCGGAGCAACAAAAGATAACAAATAAGGAAAGGTAGCAAGAACAAAAAGATTTAAAATATACACACGTCGGCCAAGATACGTGTCTCTTAGACATAACGGCGTTTATTCAATTGCCTACCAGTTTGCTTGCTTTGTTGCGTGTGTATATGTATGTCTGTGTGTATGTGTGTGTGGGCTTGTTTCTATGTCTGATTGTTTGTATGACTATGTGTCTAGCTAAGAAATTTGTTTGTATGTATTTGTCTGTATGTCTGTTTCTTTGTATGACTATGTGACTAGCTAAGAAATGTGTTTGTATGTAATAGTCTGTATGTCTGTTTGTTTGTATGACTATGTGTCTAGCTAAAAAATTTGTTTGTATGTATTTGTCTGTATGTCTGTTTGTTTGTATGACTATGTGACTAGGTAAGAAATGTGTTTGTATGTATTTGTCTGTATGTCTGTTTGTATGACTATGCGTCTAGCTAGAAAATGTTGAAGTAACAGCATTAAAATTACTAACAACAACACATAACTGCAGTGGCAAAACAACATAAGTGCAAACTGCAACTGCATCATCGTAGTCAGAAAAACACAAACATCCGGTTGATCACGTGCCTGGCCACAAAGTGTGACCTCATAGGCCACGACGACAACAAGCATCTATCTACGCAGCCAACCAGCGGTCAGCAATCAGCTACATGCCCCGGGGTGGGTTGAAGAGTTCAGGAATGATTTGATTGAATTGTTGATGGTTGTAGCGGCGATTGTGTGGCGTCGTTGTGGTGTGGCTTTTGTGGTGTAGCTGTTGTGGTGTGGCGTCGTTGGGGTGTGGCTGTTGCGGTGTGGCTAAGGCGTGTCTGGTGTATGTTTGTTATTGTCGCAATGAACTCTGAAAATGTAAATTCAGTTTGAGTACTCTATTCCACTTTGTATTTGTTTTCATTATCTTCATCATTATCGCCACAATACTCACCACACCACACCCCACACCATTGCCACCACAATCATCATCGTCGTCGTCGTTGTCGTCAAATGTTCCTTAAAAGTTATTTTAAATCATAAAGCACTCTGCCATATTGAGGCGAAAAAGAGAAGAACATCATCTCCTTATATGGAAATTTAATTTAATATGGCGGCCTGGCATTTGTTTACAATAAGATGGAAGATTGCTCCGGAGAGCTATTAACATGTTTTATGCGTATCTATGCCTGTATTTGTACATACACGCACGTACGTACACACACACACATACACACATGCACGCACACATACAAACAAACATTCATACGTATCTACAAATTCTTGTAGGTATGTGTCCTTATGTTGATGTTTATGTAGTATTTATATATGTATGCGTGTGAAAGTTAGTTTGAGTGTGTGTGCGTGCGTGTGCGTGTGTGTTGTGTGCGTGTGTGTGTGTACGTGTGCGTGTGTGCGTGTTATATTTAGTACCACACTTGAATATTTTACCTTATTTATTAATTTTTAATGAAATCCAAATTGAAACCAAAAGCAACAAAATATGATCTTTTGCGTATAATGTTAATAGGTACAAAATGTTTCCAGTGCAAACAAACAACAACCGCGAAGGGAATTTTTTAAAGTTAGATGGAAATACAGAATGACAAATACTAAAAAAATAAACATATAAAACACAACAACAACAACATCGGCAACAACAACAACAACAATAACACCAACAAACACATCAACAAAAACATCAACAACGTCAACACCATCTCAAGTACAGATGTCAGATAAGAATGTGAGCGATTTAATATCTTTTTCCCGTGACACACACACACACACACACTTTTTAAATCACATCAATCGCTAAATTATTTTGATTTTATTATTATTTTTTTTTTATTACTAAAAAATATATCCCATAAACTCATCATAAAAATAAAAAACAATGGGCAATAATAATAATAATTATTATTTTTATTATAACTATAATAGAAGTGACGAATATAACACGCACGTTGTGTCACCCCTTCAAACATTATTGTCCACTAACAATGGTTATTCGATACCAGTGGACATATGCGATTGGTCAGCTATTTTTAGTAATTTATTATTATTATTGTTGTTATTATTTTATTATTATTGTTATTATTGTTGTTGTTGTTGTTGTAACTTAATTTGGCAATTCAAATGTTTTTTGGTTGTTTTTAACCTAAACTGCTGAAAATTAAGAAAATAAGACTTACTGTGTTAAAAAGTTGAAAGTTTAGAGCAAAATAAATACGAAATAATATAATAAATCAGTTAATTATTAAGTTTAATGATTAATTAAACTAATTAATTAATTAATTAACTTATTAAATGTTTATTTACTTAGTAATCCAACTTGCTACTTAAAATTATCCATCACTCGACACAAATATTCTATGTAGTTGTAATAAATTTGAATTCAATTAGTCCTACACACACCACACACACACACACACACACACAAACACACACACAAACACACACCAGTGATATAATGTCAACACTGGACAAACAGCAATTATATTCGAACATTAATATCAAATACCTCTTCAAGTGTGATTTGGTGCGTACACACGTACACACACAGATACACACACACACAGATACACACACACACGTACAGACAAATACACATATATATGTAATAATGGACCAATGAGTAATGGCTCTAACTAGATATATTACGTTATATATTGTAACACGATGTTATATGTTATTATTATATTATTATTATTATTATTATTACTACTACTATTATTACTACTATCGATACTATTATAGTTATTATTAGTATTTATTATGCAAAGATATCAAATTAATAACAAAGAATTAATTATTATGATTTGAATTTTAAACGTATTTAACAAGCACTCATAAGACCACCTAGAAAATTATATATATAATAATAATGATAATAATAATTATTATTATTATTATCATTATTATCATTATTATCATTATCATTATTATAATTATTCTGACTGCAAAAGCCATACTAAAAATAATAACAAACAGCAATAATAATAATAAATTTATTCATTCATTTAAATAATAATAATTAAATAAATAGGAGAGTAATAAAAATTTACAATGTGCGAAATTAATTATGTAAGTGTTTGCTAAAAAAAATTTATTCAAGGGCCATATTTTAGAGAAAAAGCAATGAAATAAATAAATAAAACAATTATACTATCTTCCATTCATTCATTCATTCATTCATTCGTTCGTTCGTTCGTTCGTTCGTTCGTTCGTTCGTTCGTTCGTTCGTTCGTTCGTTCGTTCGTTCGTTCGTTCGTTCGTTCGTTCGTTCGTTCGTTCGTTCGTTCGTTCGTTCGTTCGTTCGTTCGTTCGTTCGTTCGTTCGTTCGTTCGTTCGTTCGTTCGTTCGTTCGTTCGTTCGTTCGTTCGTTCGTTCGTTCGTTCGTTCATTCATTCATTCATTCATTCATTCATTCATTCATTCATTCATTCGTTCATTCATTTTATATTTATTTATTCATTTTTTGACGTTTCAGAGCACTTGCAAATGCTAATAAGACATCAGTTTATGATTCGCCATCCAATTGTATAAACGTTTGGATTTTTATTATAGGCAAATAAACAATTCATTGAAATTTAAGAATGACATTAACTTGAAAAAATCACACTAACTACGCTACAACAGCAATAATACAAGGGCATCAACAAACACGTCCATGAAATGACATTAAAATGAGCATCGTAAAACAAAAAAAATGGTAAAGTTAAAAACTTTGATAAGGCTAATAAAAATCACACTATCAGTAACAGCATTAACAACGAAAACAATAATAATACAAACAACAACAACATTGATAGTTTCCTGGTGTAATAAAAATCAGACGAACTGACATAGAAGAATAAGTATTAAATGAAACATAGTACCACCAAACGATAACAGAGCAATTTGCAATTTCGTAATGTATGGTACGCAGTGCAAACATCTTTATAACGCTACACGGCACCACCTCTCATATTATACACTCCTTTTTATGCACTCCCATCCGCATATTATACACACCAGCGTTCATTTCTACACTCTTCTTATTACACACATTTTTACACAGCCTACCAATGCTTCTAGCTAAGTTTCATATACACTCTTTTTCATACATTTCTTCTCACACTGTCTATTCTACACTTCTGTTTGTATATTTTGCTTACCTTCTGCTATTCACATACACACCAAACTACACTCCTCATCCGACCCACCTACTTATATTCTTACCGATACAAACCTATCTACATTGAGTCTCATATACACCGACATCCACATTTATACACACTTTTTTTCACACGAACCTACCTACATTTATTTTTAAACGCATATACTAACAATATTTTTATACAAACTTACATACACTCTTCTTCATGGACCTACATCTACTAACGTTTTTGCCCATACACTCCCACTTGCTGTTCGCTTCGCATATACGCCAAATTACACTCCACACACCAGGAACGTACATTTTCAAGTTAACTCCTCTGAAATACACATACACTCATGGGTGTTGATGTTGATGATGGGATGTTGATATAAAAATACGTAGCCTTTTTACATAATCAATAAAACATTGAAAGAAAAATAAATTACCAACAAAACCAAGGACTGAAGAACACCATCTACGCTGAACAAGTAAATTTCGACATGCATATATGCATGAGGAGGAAAACTAATAATAGCCCGTCATAATTATTAAGCACTTAAGATACAAATGTTATTACACACACCACACACACACACATACACACACACACACACACACACACACACACGCATTCAATAGCCGTGTGTTTATACCCAACACACACACATACGAACATTTACACACATGCAATTTTTATGTATAAACATATTCACACATACAAAAATCTAATAAAAATTGACGCATACATTCACCCATATACATGCACAAACACACACAAAAACACACACACACACACAAGAAACATACGACACAGACCCATACATAATCACAGACACACGCACACGCGCGCACACATATACGTATTTATACGTATTTAACTCATTTGAGTTCCATTGAGTTACATTTTTATTTCCTCTTCAACGGTTATAATTTAACGAAAGTCATACAGTCATTCGTTCGCTAAGCACACAACACATCAGACCTCACACGATGGGTGGAAGTGGAGATGGCGACGATGACGACGAAGATGATAAAAATTTTCTGCTGAGTGCTAACGATGATGTGATTTAATGATGAATACAGATGATGAATACAACAGCGTCAGGTTAGTTAAGACGACAATGATGTTAAAAATCTCCAAGATGATGAAGGTGATGAAGGTGATGAAGATGATAAACTTGATAACCAAGATGGTGACGACGACGATGATAAATAAACTTGACGATGATGACAATGATGACGTCTATGAGACGATAACTCAGGCGATATAGATAGGACAGAAAGCGTTTGACGCGTCGTTGATTAAGATGCCTAAAGAATCAATGATATAAAAATGAAATGAAAAACAACAACAACAACAAAAACAACAACAACAATAATAATAATGAATAATGAATAATGACGTCATAAGGAAATTTGAATAATAAACAACATAAAATTCATCCCCCCGTCTCCTCCTCTGCTATGTTAATTAATTGCACTTATTGCGGTCGCTCTAATAAATTAATAATAATAATATTATTATTATTATTATTATTATTATTATTAAGGTTATTACTAACAAGCACTGAAATATTTTTAACTTTGCAATCGAACGAACGTTGAGCAAATGAGATTTTTTTTAAATAATTACAACTACAACAACAACAACAATAATAACAATTATTATAATTTATTATTATTGATAATTATATTAATAATAATAACATTTACAACTACTACAACAACAAAATCACAAGCAACAACAATAATTACAACAACAACAACAATTACAACAACAAAGTCACAAGCAACAACAATAATTACAACAACGACAACAATAACAAAAAAAATCACGAGCAAAAAAAGAAACAGAAAATGCATCGGTCGAAAAAAAAAAAATAAATGACTGAAGAACGTGTGAAGATGGCAATTTTCATTGGAAAATAAACATTTAGAACGGTACATGCATACTGAATTGCACAACAACAACAACAACAACAACAACAACAACAACAACAACAACAACATCAACGACAATAATAATAACAACAATAATACAACCGACATGATGACGATTGTGAAGGCGATGATGACGACAAAAGGGACGGAGAAGATGAGGATGATGATGAAAAATGAGGATGAAGAAGAAGAAGATGATGATGAAAAAGAAGATGATGATAAAAGAAAGGGATGATGATAAAGAAGATGAATAAGATGGTGATGAAATGACGTAGATGATAAAGATGATGATGATGAAGATGATGACGAAGAAGATGAAGATGATGACGAAGAAGATGATGACGAAGATGAAGATGATGAGGATGGAGATGATGAAGAAGAAGACGATGATGAGGACTGGCTCTGGAAAGATTATCATTAAAGGTCATAACATAGAGCAATAAGGTGGACTAAGTAAGCGTCCGTGCGTTCACGCGTGCTTTAAATACTTCTGAATGTGTGATTGTACGTTTGTGAGAGTGTATGTTTGAATGTATGTATGTATGTATTTGCTTGTGTGTGTTTGTGTGTATGTCTGATTGTTTGTGTGTATATATCTGGTTGTATGTTTGTGTTTGTGTATGTCTGATTGTATGTTTATTTGTGGTTTGTTTAAAATATTATGCAAAACCTTTGATTTCCTCTAAAAAAAATGCAAAAATAAACATGAGATTGTATGTACGTTTTTATGATTGTATGCTTGTTTGTATGTTACGTACGTTAGGGCGTTTTTCTTTATGGTTATTTTGTTTACATACTTATGTGTTTTAAGCCTCTGATATATGCAAATGTATATGTGTGAGCGATTATTGTATGTATATATACACGTACACATATGTATGTATACACGGACACATATGTATGTATACACGGACACATATGTATATATACACGTTTATATATTGTACTTGTATGCGAGTTTTGTATTGATACGAATAGGCTAATCTTTCCAACACGGTTATAACTTATAAAAATGCGAATTAAAAGACAATTTTTTTGTCTCATCATCGTTTAAATCGTTATTTTTCGACGCCCAATTTTTACTGCACATCTTTAAAAAAATTTCTTTTGCGAAAGTAATATTCATATTGAAATACATACATTGAAAGTATATGGATAAATATATACATATATGTATGGTCTTAAATCTGAATATATGTATATATATATTATATATATATATATATATATTTGTGTGTGTATGCGTGTGTGTGTTTGTGTATTTATATATTTATGATATACGAGTCCACATAAATAAGTTTCTCCCACGCGGTTACATACATACATACATACATACATACATACATACACACACACATACATACACACACACATACATACATACACACACACATACAGGCACCTACCAAACATTAAGTAATAGTTATTTATCAGGGAGGAAATATCGTGCTATGGAATGTATGGGGCAGTTTAAAAGATGCATGTTGTTGTTGTTGTTGTTATCCTATTGTTGCTGTTGTTGTTATCCTATTGTTGCTGTTGTTGTTATCTTATTGTTGCTGTTTTAATTGAATCTGTTAGTGCTACTATTAAAACTATTACAGTTAGTAGAACTGTAGTTATTGTAGTCATTGTGGTTGTTGCTGCTGTGGCTACTGCTAAAGCTGCTGAAGTTTTTGTTGTTTTTATATTCTGTGTGTGCGTGTGTTACGTGTGGGTGTGTTTATGTTACGTAGTCGATGATGAGATTGATAAGAATGACGATGTTGATATGTTAAAAATGATGGTGTTGATAGCAACGAGAGTGATGATGATGACGACGACGACGATGAGGATGGCGTTGAGATTGTTTTTGATGCGACGACACGTATAGCCTGGAACGTGTGATTGTCGTTTGCCATGAAGTTTTGTGTTGTTGTTTGTGTTGTTGTTTTTGTGCTGTTGTTTGTGGGGTTGTTGTTTGTGTTGTTATTTGTGTTGTTGTTTGTGAGGTCGTTTGTGCTTTTATGTTTGTGTTGTTATGTTTGTGTGGTTGTTTGTGAAGTTGTTTGTAAGGTTGTTTTGTATGTTTATGTGTGGGTGTGTGTTTTAGCGTTTGTGCATTTGAGTGTGTATGCATGTGAGTGTGTGTTTGCCTTTGTATGTGTATGTGTATGTGTGTGGTGTATGTGTTTGCCTTTGTGTGTGTGTGTGTGTGTGTATGTGTGTGGTGTGTTTGCCTTTGTGCGTGAGCATGTGTAAGTGTGTACGTGCGTGTTGGTGTTCACATATTTAAGCTTGTTTAAACATTAGAATTAATAGCGGCATTAAGCGAATAAACAGAGTTAGAGACGACATATAAGGCGGCAATAACACGGGAAGGTGCATTTAAGATAACTGTTATTGTTTTGTCGTTTCCATCTTCTTGTTGTGGTTGGTTGGTTGTTGTTGCTTTTTGCGACTTGTTGCTGTTGTTTGTATATGTTGTAGCTTGTTGCTGTTGTTTGTATATGTTGTTTGTTGTTGTTGTTGTTGTGGCTTGTTGCTGTTGTTTGTATATGTTGTTTGTTGTTGTGGCTTGATGCTGTTGTTTGTATATGTTGCTTGTTGTTTGTTGTGGTGGCTTGTTGCTGTTGTTTGTATATGTTGTTTGTTGTTGTGGCTTGTTGCTGTTGTTTGTATATGTTGTTGTATTTTTCATAATGCTTTTGTTGTTGATGTTTTTTTAATGTTATTGTTGTTGATGATGCTGAATTATGTTCAGTGTAGTCTGGTCTGGTTTGTTGGAACAAGCAGTGGTATGTGCTTTTGTTCGTTTTTTATGTTTATGATAATTACCGCTTTTATGTTATTATTGTTATAAATGTTGATAGTTATGATTATAATTAATATAATCATACTAATAATATAATAATTATAGTTATTATTATTATTATCGTGATTGTTTGAAAGTATCAGTAATTATTTTCTATTGTTTCTTTGTTATTGAACATGTTAATTTCGATTGGAGTCATTAATTTTGCAAAGAATTTGGTTGTGTGCTGATTTGTTGATTTGTTGTTGTAGTAGTAGTTTTTGTTTTTTTTTGTTATTGTTGTTGTTGTTGTTTTTGTTGTTGTTGTTGTTGTTGCTGTTGCGTGTTTGATGCTTAATTAATATTTTAATCTGTTCTCCATTGATGATTTGCAAGTTCGCTGCTAGCAAAATCATAAGCAACAACATTTATATTACCAACACCGTCAACAAAAACAACAATGAAATCAACACCGTCAACAACAACAACGTCAACAACAGCAGCATCAACAACAACATCAACAACAACAAACCTTGAATTAGTACAGTCTTCGTACAGAACATCAAATTCCTTTGGTGAGATGAGTTTGCACCTATTGACCCCTGGTTGGATTGCCCCGAGTGACCTCAATACCCTCACCTAAAATTACGTCATGTAAAAAATAGGGATGTGAGAATACGTGTGATAAATGTTTTATATTGTTTTGTTAAGCGCTTTGTCTTATTAAATTGTATTGTATTGTATATGTCGTGCCATTATTTTTAAAATTAAAAGTATTAACGTATTTTATGTAGTTAAAATTAACTTTAATTGTTAGAGAAAACGTTCGTTATATTGAAAAACTAATGAAAACTATAAATCTAAGTGGTCAAATGACAAATCATTCAACTAACCAGCCTACCAATCATTCAACCAACAAATCAGCAACCAACCGGCAACCAACTAACCAACCGACCAGCAACCATCCAGCAACCAACCAACCAACAACAAATCATCCAACAACCAGCCAACCAGCCAACGAACCTGCTCGACATTGCAGACAACTGGCACAACATCCAGTCTCTTGAGCTTCGTGTACACGGTATGCAAACCACCCACCAGATGTTTCAAAAAAAGTTCGAAAGCCTGGGGTAGGCAAATCAAGTCGCGACCGTCGACGGTGAATGTGGCGACCGCTTGGTTTCTGTAGTCCATCAATCTGCACGTGTTGTTCTC